ATGACTGCCATAGCAGGCAGAACAAAACATCTTCTGTCTTTCCTCTTCCCTAGGAGTGCCCCCCTGATCAATTCTCCGAAGCATATCCCTCTGCATCCACCCTGCTGAAGGCCAGAAAACCAGCTGCTCTTCACAGCTGGATTTAGCAAGCTGAACCGTGTCAACTCTTTAGTGTTCAGTAGCACAGACATTTTTTTTCGCCCACCTGGGGCCTGACATTGTTTACTTAGCTGCAGAGTGGCTGACAACGTGCTCTGCATAGACTATTAAGCCATTGTAGAAAGTGTGTTGACTGGTACCTTTTGATTTCAAGTACATGACATTTTACAGAGGGTAGGGAAGAAGAATCAGCCAACAATTTGCAGCCAACATTGCAGGTTTACACCATAAAGAACTTGGAGTCAGTATGAATTGAATGGATAATGCGCACACAAGCTAGCCGGGGTGCACATCTGCCTGGCATTGTGGAAAATGTGCACCTATTGAGAGGGTGTGTGGGGAATTGTGTACTTTGTCTACTCCATCTGCATAACCTCAAGTCATAATTTGAGGATGTGTTACATAACTTGCCAGCACATGTCACAGTTTCTAAGTGGAGAATGTACATATTGACCAGGCAATGTGTTAAATCATGGGTAGGCAAATTTAGGCCCAGGGGCCAGATCCGGCCCAATCACCTTCTATTAGTGCTTAAATATATCAGAATCCAGCAGATGGAAACCTGGATGTGATGACAAAGATGGCACTGCAAAACAACAGTACAGGTTCAGATTTTGTCATGCACCTGTCTTCCAGGTCCCTTCCTCTTCCCCAGGACCCCCTGCAATTCAAACTCCTCCTTTTATTTGGGTTTTGAAGTAATGTGGATTTAGGATTTTATTTATTCTCTTCTCTTTTTTTGGCAAATATGATACAATAAAATACAGAACACTAGATGGGGATATGAAACTATAAGAAAAGAAACACACACACACACACACATTTAATTTATGAAAAGTTCTATGGATCTTTTACACTGGGGTCTGCAATGTAAAGGTAAAGGTAAAGGTACCCCTGCCCGTACGGGCCAGTCGTGTTCGACTCTAGGGTTGTGCGCCCATCTCACTTAAGAGGCCGGGGGCCAGTGCTGTCCGGAGACACTTCCGGGTCACGTGGCCAGCGTGACGAAGCTGCTCTGGTGAGCCAGCACCAGCGCAGCACACGGAAACGCCGTTTACCTTCCTGCTATAAAGCGGTCCCTATTTATCTATTTGCACTTAAGAGTGCTTTCGAACTGCTAGGTGGGCAGGAGCTGGGACCGAAAGACGGGAGCTCACCCCGCTGCAGGGATTCGAACCACTGACCATGCGATTGGCAAGCCCTAGGCACTGAGGTTTTACCCACAGCGCCACCCGCGTCCCTCTGCAATGTAAGGTAGCTGCCTATTTTTAAGATTTCCTTCCCAATTCCTGTGGTATAGACAGACATGTTCCTATAGACATAACACTAAGATTTCTTTTCTTTTTCAAAATGAATTGTGGGATTAATAGGACATTATATTATTTACAAGAAACTGCCTGCCTGGGCCAGCCTTATCATCGTCCTCCACGAATGCAGCTTTGGCACTCAGCAACCTGCTGTTACTCTTTGAGAAGAGCCTTTGAAAATAAAGTTGCTCTTCTCCATGGATACCTTGATGTTGCTCTGACTGCAAATCCAGTTGAGGTATCCAGTGGTATATCCAATTCTCATTTTTGGCATCAGTTGATGCACTCTGATGATGTGGACAAGGTGCTTGCAGGAATGAGGCTGACCAGGTTCCATCCAGACCATTGCCCTTCTTGGCTGATTGCTGGAGGGATGTGTGTGTTCATTTGATGGGTCCAAGGTGTGGTGAATGCATCTCTATATAGGGGAGTGGTGCCTGCTGCCCTTAAGGAGGCAATAGTATTACCCACCTGGAAATGTCCACCCTGGATTCAATAGTTTTAGACAACTATCATCCTGTCATTAACACCCACTTTTCGAGCAACATAATTGAGACAGTTGTGGCAACACAACTGAAAGTATTGTTGGAGGCTATTGGTTATGTAGACCAGGTGTGGTGAACCTTTGGCCCTCCAGATGTTGCTGAACTACAGTTCCCACCAGACCCAGCAAACATAGCCAATGGCCAGGGATGATGTGAGTTGTAATTCAACAACATCTGGAAAACCAAGAGTTTCCCAATGTTGATCTAGACCCATTTCAGTCAAGGTTCTGATCTGATGGTTTCGTCCATCATGGTGGATGACCTTTCTCAAGAGAGGGATAGATGGAGCATGGCTGTGTTATTCTGATGCAATCTCTCAGTAGTTTTTTTTATACCACTGGGCATTGTCTCTTTTTGGACTGACTCTGCAAGATAAAAATTGCAAGCAGTGTTCTTCAGCGATTCTCTTCCTACCTGCAGGGTTGGTTTCAGGGAGTAGCATTAGAGGACTGGCTATTGGCACCACCACAACTATGCTTTGTGGGTCCCAAATCTTGCCCCTGTACCGTTTAACTATATGAAGCTGTTGGGTCTCAGCATTAGTATGCTGATGACATCCGGTTCTGTTTCTCTGTGACATATGAATCAGGTGAGGTTGTCTAAGCCCAGAGCCAGTGTCTGTAAAATTCAATATAGTTTTTGTGAAGCGCCCACACAGTTTGCACATATATCAGGCTACAGACAAGGGAGGAAAATGCATCATTGCTGGTAATGGAAAATGGAATTTCTCTCCTAATCTTAATACACTCTATGAATAGCAGAGCAGCTCTGTTTGCAAGCTGGAAAAGCCAGAGCAAAATGGCCTCATCATTTTGATACAGATAGAAAACAAAATGGGATGCTGCAATTGCAATCCCCCGTTACTTGTGTGCCCTCATTTGATTCACTCAGATGACTCAACCCCACCTCCTCAGCTATATTCATAGTCCTCATTTGGAAAATTTAATTTACTCATGTCTCAGAGCAAGCTGGCGATGTGATAGAGCACAAATGTCAAGAGAACTGAAATGCGTGAGGCTGGTGGTAATGCCACCCAAATTCCTACTTCCCCATATTCATGGCAAATGCCTTTTCTTGCAACAGTAAGAATGAGGTGGCATCACTTTTCATCATCAATGCATAAAAGAAGGGGCGTAAGAAAGGAAAACTGATGAACCTAATTCATCCTTGGTGCAACTGTATTCTTTATCTTTCTGTTACAGCATAATGTGAACCAGACACACCAAATTTTGATTTCAGCAATAATTGCAACAGGTAGTCTTAAGCAAGCTGTTACTTCTTGATCTCAGTCCCATCTCTGCAAAACAAAAATAATATTCATAGCTTACAGGATGGTTGCGTGGTTGAGTATTTGTGAAATGCTTTGAACACCCCAGATCAGGGGTTGCCAAGCTTTTTTGGGTTAGTGGGCACATCTGAAATTTTGAGAAACATCACCTACATCAGCCACTGCCATGCTCAATCGCAGAGATGGAAGAGTGCATATCCAGTCTTGTGGGCATGTTTAAAAGGGCATGTTCAATATAGGAGAGGCCAAGCCTGTGCAAACAGAAACTGAGCAGGAAGAGTAAGCAGTCTATTTGTGCATTGTGGGTTTTTGAGGGGTATTAACCAGGGACCTTTCACAAAGACCATAGGATGTACTGGCAGACTGGGTGACACCTGCCCTAGATCACTGTGGCCTAAACTAAAACATATACAGTACATATGTTTGACTAGCACAGTGTTTCCCAACCGGTGTTCCGCGGCACACGAGTGTGCCGTGAGACGTTGCCTCGTGTGCCGCGAGATGCCTGGAGGGAGGCGGGCGAGTCGGGCGGCGAGAGGCGGGGCGGCGGCGGCGAGGAGAGGCCGGCCTCCTGCTGCTGCCTGGCGCTCCTCCTCGCAGCCGGCAGCGCTGCCTGGGCGCCTCCGCGCGACTCTGCCTCGCTGGGTTTGGTCTCCCAGCAGAGACGGGTCACACGCGCCCCTCCCTCCCTCCCTCAGCCTGCGCGGAGGGAGAGCCAGAGAGAGGCATCGCTCCTGCGCGGCGGGAGAGGGAGCAGCCGGAGCGATGCCCCAAACGAACGCATGGGACCGGAGGGGAAATCCTCTCCGAGGCGGATTGAGCGCAGCTGAGAGAAGCCTTTCGAGGAGCTGCCGTGTCCCCTGGAAACCCCCTTCCCAGCTCTGCCTCAGCCGCCGCCGCCTCAGTTGCCGCCGTCCCTCAGTCCCTCGCTCTGCTGCCTCCTCCCACCCCCAAAGCTTGGAGGTTCCCCAGCAAGGGGGAGGGAAAAAACTTTTACTTTTGTGCGTCCCTCCCGGCGTGACGCTGCGCGCTGACGTCACGGGGCGGGGCTTTAATGGTGGTGTGCCGTGAGATTTTTTTTCAGTAAACAGGTGTGCCGTTGCCCAAAAACGTTTGGGAAACACTGGACTAGCATACCTAATTCTGTGTTGGATTTAGACCTACATAAATGATTAGTAGTATTATGTCAGGGAACTAGCACATACAGTTGTACCTTGGTTCTCAAACAGAATGTGTTCCAGGAGTCTGTTCGACTCCTGGAACCATTCGAAAACCAGGGCACGGCTTCCGATTGGCTGCAGGAGCATCCTGCAGCCAATCGGAAGCCACACTGGATGTTCGGCTTCCAAAAAATGTTCAAAAACTGGAACACTCACTTCTGGGTTTCAATTGTTTGGGAGCAGATTTGTTTGGGAGCCAAGACGTTTGAGATCCAAGGTTCAACTGTACTTAAAATGCCAAGGCCCAATATAATGTAAGAAATGCAGTGTTCTATACATGAGGGTCCTGCTTTATGAACACTTGCTCTGCAAATATTCAGTTACCCAAACATGAGGCATTCGTACCCAAATGTCACTTAATACACACTGCAGATTCAGATAGCATTTAGTTTTCCATTCTATGAATTGCATCTTGAACCTTGCAGATAATATTTTCACATGTTGTCTGACTTGGTGCATATAATCCACGGAACAAATTCTGTTATTTTTTTACGTTTTTATTTTCTTTTTTTTTTAAAAAAAAAGTTCTCATATTCACATTCACAAGTTTTCCAGGCAGTTATTGCCATTTCTCACATTTAGAAAAAAATGTGACTGAACAAAGCAACAGCAGCACATTGAGCCACCTGTAGACATACAAGCTAGACACACAGATCCCCTGGAAAAAAAGGACCCCAGTTGGCTTGGAAATGATGTTATTCCACAGCCAGAAATGTGTTATGGAAGAGATCAATCAATACAGGGAAAAGCAAGCCACATGACGTTCAACAAGACCACGTAATATATAAATGGATAACACTTCAATGGGGAGATGCATTGTTTGCAAGCTGCCCCCTTCCAACTTTTTCTTAAAATCTTAAAATACAGTAAATCTAATTGCAACGAAAAGAGAAAAAGAAATTTTCATTGGATAAGCATTAAAAAAAATTCAAGCATTCCTTTACATAACCAACTGCTGTAGAACTGCCTGCTCTTTAATTCCTTCTTTGCTGCTCTTTAGTGAGTGCATACTGTTAGAAGAGGAGGCAGTCATCTCTCAACAGAGGTCCAAGTCTGGAGTGGGGTGACAATATGGTCTGTGAACAACCTGTGCAGCTCCACCCATTTATTTTTTGCAGCCTGTTAGCTCAGCAGTATGTCCTACACATGGCCGTTACTGAACTGCAACTGAACCAGTCTGCTTTGGCCATTTGCATCAAGCCAAAATAAAGCTGTAGAACACAGGTTCTGCATTGCAGAACCCTACTTGAACTTTCAACCACGGGATTTCAGGAACTGATTAGCCAGTGTGGAAAATGTGTAGCCTTCCTGATGTTGCGGGACTATAATGTTCATCACCTCTGATTTGGCCATGCTGTCTGAAGCTCATGCCAATGCAGATGTCCGACAACACCTGGAAGGTCAGCAATTCACCCCCCCCCACTGAGTAACAGTACATCTGTGCACACCATCAGCCTGAATTTGACTATACTTCACTCAAAGGGTAGGTGCAACATGGCCACTATATGCCAGCCGCACACAGTTCTAGTGGTACCATTTGGGAATATGTGTTGCTACATCCAGTTACAGAGTTGGTAGGGTTCTACTATAGTGTTCAGGGCTGAAATAGAACATAGCAGGTGTTCCCAGTGGAACAGGGGAAACCTCTTGTGTTTTGATAGGACCATGGTGTTTTAAGAATGAAACATCCCCTGGAAATAAGGCATCTCTGGAAACACAAGCTGGATTCAACTGGATGAGAAAGAGTGGAACCCCTATGATGTTGCAGCCTTGGGACGTGCACAAGTTCCTCTTGGCAAGACTACCTCGTTTTGTTATCCAGACTAGAAACTGACAAGCACCCAAGGCCTCTGGGGAAGGATAAACCTGACCCCAGTCGTACAGCAGTAAGCAATGGTCATTGGATGTGGGAAGAAAGAAGTCTTCTGCTCCTACCTTCTAACCCACTTGCAGCCTATGGTGTAGTACATATTAAAAAGACACACAACAGGAAAAAGCAAACATTCAAGTTTCTGCCATCACCGAAATGTCAGTGTTTGCTTCTTTTGTAAATTGTGCTTTTCATTACAGCTCTGCTTTCCTGACACAGCTGTTTATTGCTTACACTTTTAAAACAAGGCTATAATTAAAAGAGAAGGAGGGAGACAGCAATGGAGAAGCAATCAGACCAGACTGACTTTATGTGGCGTTCTCTCTACCCCAGGGTAGTCTGGAAGTATAGTAGTGGGTGCACAAACAGTCCAGAATTTATTCTAAAAAACCCTTAAACAGTGCACAACTTTTATTTTTAAAAAAACATTCCTTCTTTTGAAAGCCTGATCTAGCCAGTGTCCATACACTTATGTTCTCAGCCATAACGAAGGGCATCTACTTCTGGGAAGAGGAAGAATTATCTTCAAAGCACAAGCCTAGGACAATTTGAGCTACAGCAGGAGTTGGCTCGACTCAGCACAAGTTAACAACCTGAAATGGCATAGCTACCCCCCAAACTTAAATGCACTGAACAAAGACTCCATCTCAATGTAAAATGACTTTTCCCCCTTCCAGGTATAGACAGCCCCTCAAGTGTCCAGTTCCAGGTGAAATTCATGAGGTCCTCTGTATTGCATGTAGGTGAAATGTATCATTATACGCTCTACCAGGCTCATGGGACTGTATTGTCTCTTGTTCCCAGGAGGGTCCAGCAGGATGAAGATGCAGCAATATTTAGCTGGTGGACAGGTGAGTGAATGGGCACAGAATTCAAAACTGAGGTAGGAAAAGCAAAACAGGAGCCTTCGAAGCTTTTGCCCAAAGCCAGCTCTTCGGTGAAGAAAGACACAGCATCCCTTTTGCAAGAGGCAACAGGAGGGCTGGGAGTTGAGGACAATATTTCTGACTCATACTGTAGCAGCTGGCCCATGAAGCCAAAGTTTGGTGAGATCAGACTCCTACGTTGCTTGATGTAATCAAAAGCCTCCTCCAGGCGGAACTTTCTCATTTTCATCAGATATGCCATACAGATAGTGGGAGAGCGGGAAATTCCAGCTTCACAATGCACCAAGATCTTACCCCCTGCCCGTCTGGTGCAATCTAAAGAAAAAGAAGAACAGAAGAGGGTGGTGATGATGCATTGAATATGTTAGCTGTCACTATAAGTGGATGCCCACAATGGCAGCGTAACATTCTGCAAACAATTGTCCTAAAGAGGTAGTGGGCTGACAGAAGGTGTTCCACAAATGGAATTAATGTCAGAATGCCAGAGAAGAAATTTCCACTTTATTCACCAACACCGGCTGAAGCGTTTAACGCATTTGTTCAAATGACAAAACTTAATAGCTATAGGGTAGATTAACCACACTTGGATAAAGTTAAGAGGTTTGCCTTCCCCTCATCTAGCCGAACTATGGCAACAGATGTGTAATAAGGCAAATACTACAATGCCACAAAAGAACTGAATTCACAGTTTGGTTCTTTTCGAAAGCAGCACAGACCTTGCGGCAAAAAGTGTGGGCTTGCTGCATGTTCCCTCCCATCTGATGAGGAGATGTGCCTATTTTTCCATTGGGTAAGAGCATGAAATGTACTGCTTCTGTCCCCACCTTTTGTGGGCTTTTTTGGTAGACACTCAGCATGCATTTCGAGCAGGGATGTAAAGTCCCTGGGTTCCTGGGGTTTCTACCACAAAATGCACAATAAAATAGCCTAACATCTCTAATTATAACCCTTGATAAGTGGCACTTGGATTTAAGTCAGGCTATAAATGGCTGAGGCAGAACCACCATTTTACGCAATGGGAGGCCCCCAAGTTACTCACACAATTCAATTATTGTTATAAGATTAAAAGGAAAATTCTGAAAATAAGCTCCTTGTGCAAAACGCATTGATTAAAAATAGAACTGGCCCTATTTGGCTGGCGTGAGAAATATATTACCCACATTTCATCTTACTGCATTCTGCTCTGGGCCACATCCTCAAAGGCATGCCGTAATAATTGAAGTATCCATCTATCTTAACATTTATTGAATCCTCAAACTTCTCATCTTCAATATGGAGTTACTGTTTCATATATTTTAACATAATCATTATTTTAATGCTTGTTAATGCAATAATGTGTCCTAAACTGCTTCCTGCTACCAAGCTTAGGGTACAGTACTGTATTAACAGACATTAAAATAATAGTACTTGCACTAAATGTAAAGCACTTAACATTTTCAGTAATTCTCACAACAACACTCTAAGGTAGGTCAGCTTTGTTAAACCCATACAGAGACAGTGGCTAGCTTTAGGAACAAAATTTGAACCAAGGACTCCCTGATTTATGGCTCAGGTAGATTGGAAAAAGCTGTTGTTTCTCCTTTTAAAAAATGGACAAAAAAGCAAGGTCTCTGTAGAACCATGCCTACAGGTTTGTGCAGCTTTTTCTTAAGCAACGGACGTAGTTACACTGCTTGTGGCACACTGGCAGACATAGTCATTTCTATCATTTAGTAATCCTGCCCTCTCTACGTATCTCAAATGGCCCTGGGTCAGAGGTCAGCACCCCAGTCTCAGAGAACACCTTGCTTCACCACCCGTCCCCACTATGCAGCCTCACTTACAGTACGCTTGCATGTTTGCCGGCTGAGAGATGCATCTAGCCCACAGAGGCCTATGCCACAGTAGTTTTTCTGTAGTTTATACCTCACCTTTCCTCAGTTAGCTCAAGGCGGGTTGCAAAATGAGTTTAACACAGTGAAATCATTTTCTTCTTCTTCTTTTTTTAAAAGCCTCCCCCCTTATATATATATGGGGCTACTGGTCAGGGATGATAGGAATTGTAGTCCAAAAACAGCTGGAGACCAAAGTTTCGGAAACCCTGCTCTACAGCCATTTATCGCCCAAAGCTTCCCTGTAATGAAATATTTTAACCACCCTACAGAAGGGGCAGGAAGGAGATGCACCTCCTGGTAAGTGAGAGAGCTGTGAAGCCTGATCACAGGCTCTGGAAGGGCTTTTTCCTTAGCCCCAACAAAATGTATTTCAGGACATGCGGTTTGGTCTCTGATGGCGGCCTCCATAGAGGTCACTATTAACTTCAATAGAGAAATACACCTACCAATAAATTCTATTGCTTCCTGGAAGTGTGAGCTGATGTCTGCTGTGTGATTGTCCTCCACCGGAATCCATTTATAGCAGTATTGATCCGTAAAGGGCTCGGAGCTCTTCCTGGAGACGTTCAGGAGTGCTGTAATGTTCAGATTGGCTAGGGACTCGCACTTGGAAGCATGGTAGGCACTGCCAAGGTACAGGAAAGGAAGGATCTCCACTGGGCCACCCTGGAAGGCAAGGAACCGCATATAATTATAGGCTCTCGTTTGCTGTTTTTTCTTCCACACACAGAGAGACGCAGTAGAACACAGACAGCAGGGGCTGAGCTTTGGACAATTTTAGGGTGTTTTCCAGACATCACTGAGATCAGAGCTGTAGCACCCAGACAGGAAGTACTTTGCAAGAGGTGCAGTTCCTGCTGCGGGGGTAGAATTACTGTTGTGGTCTTGGCACAATGATAGCTTTGCCAGCCCTGCTACTTCCATACTGGCAGGGACTGCCCCTTAAGACCTGTGGGTTGTGAGCAATGCAAAGACTCTGATAGGGAGTCCTGGTCAACCACTTATCCACCCATATAGGCTAATATGGTAGCTTACCAGCAAACCACTGTAACAGAACACTCCTTACGAAAAATCAGCGGATTTGGTTTTTCCTCATTCACATTTGCCATGTGTGGTATCATGAGCAATTTCACTCGTGGGTTTCCTTATGCCTCCCTCCCCCCATGAAGCACACACCAAAAGGATTTTTACTTGTCCCTTCCGTCACCATGATGAAAAAAATGCAGGGGCAAGTTTCCCCCCCCCCCCAGAATCATACTAAAAATGTAGACACAAAGCCTGTTCAGTGTCTCTTGACGGAGCCTGGTAGGCATGATGTACTTTAACCAGAAGCTTCAAAGGTATCTTGACAATGCTATGCACTGTGTGCATTTGTTTTAAAGTTCCGTTTGAAAGAAAAACATAAACACATTACTGGGCTTAGCATGACACTCTTTTCATGCGTGCCTAATTAATAATTGCAGGATGGCAGCTGGCATGTGCCTCCTCTGACTTCAAGCTGTCTTAGCCTCCCAAAGCAGAATCAGCATGGGGCCCTCAGCCCTGCCACGTCAGAAACACAACACTCTCCCCTGCTGCTCTCAGCCACTCAAGTCTTCTCCCCCTTTGTGAGTAGAAGGCGAAAAACAAGAAAAGAAGCTACATGCTAGAAAACGTCACAGCATTATATTTAGTGCCCAGAAAACCAAGACAAGACACCATTCATATTTCATAAGGTGTCAGAAAACCTCTTTTTAATATATCACCTTTGGGAATACAAATAAATCCCCACTCAGCTTGAAAGGTTGCTGGGTGAACCCTTGGCAATATGCAGTCTCTCAGGCTAAACTACCTTACAGGACTGTTGTGAGGGAGTGAAGCATGTATAGCTCCTTGGAGGAAAGGTGAGAGCAGGAAGGTGTCACTATACAGTTCTTAAGAGTTACAAACTCTTTACATATTAGGGAAGAAGAAAGGGGGGGGAATAGGTGGCTTTGACGGCATCTATCTCTCTTCGTTTTAAGGCCACTTGTCTTCAAAAGTGCATCACACTCAGACTTCTTATTTGAAACATGACAAACATGCACGCCGAGTCCTTTTGTCATATTGCCAGACATGAATAAAAGAGTGAACTAGTCAGCTACGAACAGGATGATGACAGGAAGAGCCCCCGAGGAGCCAGAGCGTGGGTGGGATTAGTCATATCTTCCCCTCAACACACCTGATCGTATGCTGGTTTGTGGTGGATGCACGGCTTCTCGTAGAGGCTGCTGGTGCTTCTCTCCGTTTCAGGTCTCTCTTGGGATATGGGTTTTACATCTATGCAAAACTCAGGATACTGCAAATAAAAGGCTTCATAGCCTCCTGAGGAGAAAGAAGCAAACAAAGAAATGTCAATTAATAGGGTTCAGAAGTGTGTGTCTGTGGGGGGGAATAGTTTCAATTGTTCCTGATCGTCAATTAATTTGAGGCTGTGATAGTTCTCACTGCATGATGAACATTTTATAAATAAGTGGGGAAGTTTTTCCTACCACAGCTGAACAGGGTTCAAAATTAGCAGGGCACCAGGTGCTTTGTGCCTGAAGATTCTCCATTTGCGAGCATCTCCAAAAGTCTGGGTGCCATTTTTTGCACTTGGCTGACCCTCAAGGATTACTGAAATGTATGTGCTTTGAAGCCTCAAACTTTATGTTAAGGAGTTTAACAATAGATACAGCGTTTTGAAAACTGAGGTGTGGTACCAATATTTTTAATGTAAATACCAAATTAAACATGTACTGTATTAACAATTTCTGCTAAAAATGTGATACAGTGGTACCTCAGGTTACATACGCTTCAGGTTACATACGCTTCAGGTTACAGACTCCGCTAACCCAGAAATAGTGCTTCAGGTTAAGAACTTTGCTTCAGGATGAGAACAGAAATCGGCCTCCCACAGCATGGCAGCAGCGGGAGGCCCCATTAGCTAAAGTGGTGCTTCAGGTTGAGAACAGTTTCAAGTTAAGTACAGACCTCCAGAACGAATTAAGTACTTAACCTGAGGTACCACTGTACAGTGGTACCTCAGGATGCGAACAGGATCTGTTCCGGAGCCTTGTTTGCATCCCGAACAGAACGTAAGACGTGACAGTGTGTCTGCGCGAGCCGCATTTCGCCGCTTCCGCGGATGACGTCATTTTGACCGTCTGCACATGCGCAAGCGGCGAAACCCGGAAGTAATGTGCTCAACCTGAAGCGTATTTATCTCGAGGTATGACTGTATTAACAATGTGTCACTTAAGTGTTGCTGACATACACCCCCACCCATGGCGACTAGACATTCTGTTTCGGCGCCCACAACCCAGGTCCCAGGAGCCATTTGGCTCCTAGTTTTTCTAACCCCTTTTCTAACACTGCAGCTAAATAACCACAATCAAAAGAAAAACAGTATGGCAATTAAAGGTTAGTGATAGAGATTGTGATTCTTTGCCAGCAGAAATCAGCTGACTCTGTTTCAAAGATTAAGACTAACACCAACAATTCTCCATTTACTTCTGAGACATTTATTATCATACAGCTTCATGTTTGCATCCATTTGAGGAAGGGCAAGTTCCGAGAGGCTGTTCTGTACGGATTAATAACTTCCATTCCGTTGTGTTATGGTAAATGAAATGGATCCATTAAGAGCCATAAAACTTAATTAAATCCTATGATGGGTTCAGACGACAAAACAGACCCAGATGAGTGCTTTGGTGTGTTTTTTACTGTGAGATAAATTAGTTATGTTCTCTGCACAATTAGTGAAAATGAGCGTATCTGTTAAGCTCAGACCTTGGATGAAATTGTGAAGCATGCAAATCAGCTACACCTTGAGCAAACCTGTGCTTTCAAACACAAGTCATACTACATGGATTTCTATGTCTTTTCTTCAGGTCTCTGAAAGGATATGTTTACTTGGGAAACAAAACCCATAACTTGTGTCAGTGAGTAACTGTCATGGAAAGTGCTGCACTACACTGCTACATCTTCTCAAAGATAAATTGCAGCAATGGATAAATTGACATTCTGAAACTCTACCTAAGGAATCACACCTAGGATCTTAAAGGCCAGCATTTTAAACCCTTCTCTCTTAAGATTTCTATCCTGCTACATATTCTATGCCATGGGTAGGCATACTAAGGCCCGGGGGCCGTATCCGGCCCAATCATCTTCTAAATCAGAATCATGAGTAGAATGTGTCCTTTTATTTAAAATTCATCTCTGGGTTATTTGTGGGGCCTGTCTGGTGTTTTTACATGAGTAGAATCTGTGCTTTTATTTAAAATGCATCTTGGGGTTATTTGTGGTGCATAGGAATTCATTCATTCCCCCTCCAAATATAGTCTGGCCCCCACAATGTCTGAGGGACAGTGGACAAGCCCCCTGCTGAAAGTTTGCTGACCCCTGTAATCTATGTCCTTGAGTAGCTGCGTGCTGAAACATTCTTAGCAGGATATTGACAGTGAGGAAATGCAGAACTAAGGAACCAGTCCAAAGTCAGTGGAATCATAGAATCAGAGTTGGAATAGACCACAAGGGCCATCGAGTCCAACCCCCTGCCAAGCCGGGAAGTGTGGGCTTCAGTAAATTGCATGGAGCCTCTTTTACAGATTCATTTAATCCAGCCAGAACGCAGAAGCTTAATTATCCTGCATTTAAAATTCCAGTTTACCCTTGTTAAAAGCTACTAGCTGAGCCTAACAAAACAGTAACAGAGACTGTGTCCCCTTATCAACTAAAGCTCTGAATATTTTTTAAAAAGAGATTACATTGATCTATCACATATTTGCTGAATGAAAAAAAAATTCTCCTTATCACTCAGCAGAATGGGAGAAGACACAACTATTCTGGAGCAACAGCTCATTTCAGAGTACTGTGGTCACCTGAACAGGCTCTGTATGGGTTTTCAAGAAGGCCGTGAAAACTGTTATTGTTAGAAGCCAGGTTTTCTCCTCGACCTCGTTCTGAAATATAATGCTATTTCATTCCACATCCTCTTTCTATAACTCCTGACAGTTTATTTATAGGGATTTTATATGGTGAGCTTTCCTCAATTTTATGCCCATGGATTCACAAACCAAGGGAACCAGCCAAACGGATTTATCTTGGGTGGCTGGTGCCTTTGCTCAGGAGGCTAATAGAAAACCAGGAGCCTTTGGGGATCAGGAGATTTGCAGGCAGTTCTTAAAGTGAGTCACCTTTTCAAGTCCTCCAGCTCTTTCTCTCTCACAAACACAGGCACACACTTCTGCTCCCCCACTGGCTGAACTCTGTTGCTATTATTTCTGCTAATGCTACATTACTCATCTTGTGAGAGGGGTAGGCTTCATTTTCACCACCAATGATTAAAATCCTATGCATAACAAAGTGGCAGAAGAATCCAGCATTATTTTTATTGACATTTACAGCTGCAGCCTCTCTCATGAAAAATGACTGCTTATTTTATAGGTGGGGGGGGGGGGAGCCCACACTAGACCCTTTGAGGATGCCCCCTGCCCAAGGCTGACAATTTAAACGATAAAGCCTATCACAAATTTAAACATTGCCGCATATGAAATACAATGAATTAACGAGGGCTGGAAGTTTATATAAAAAGGGGGGTGCTGAAAAGGATTGTGTCATTCCGCAGTAAAAACAATTCCCTGAAGAGCGAGGCTGTGTTTATGGTGGCTGACAAGAGTTCTGACTCACACCTTTATCTCACTAGGACTGCCTAAGTCCAACCCCAATTGGAAAACTTCATTCCATTCAACCATGAATTTTCTCTCTCATGTCACAGTTCAGACAAAACCCTTGGGATAAACCCCGGGACTCTTCTGTTACTTCATAGTGAACATTCAAACGGAACTAAAAATATAGAAAGAGTCTCAAGAGCTTGTGACTCACACAGAATTCGCCAATTTAGCCAGCTTCTGGAAGATGGAAACCTGTGGCAACAACAGAGCATTCTATTTAAGGATGTGCAACTTAAGATTGCATTCAGACTACAGGCTCGCTTTTCAAAAAGATAGTTTCCTACTGTGGCAGCACACTCTTAAATGCTCTTCATTTTCGTTTTATAAAATCACTTGCTATCGGCAGGCAATTTTGGCTGCTTACATGCCATGCCTTTAAAGTATATTCAATGCATGTTCTTGACTTCAGAATTCTGGGCACTGTCGTTCCCAGCAACCCTTTTAACCAGCTACTGTGCCCATAATTCTTTGGGGAGGGGGGAGAATATGCTTTAAAGGTATGGGGTCCACATAGATGGCCTAGAATAAAAGCGAGCTCTTTAAATGTGGATTGGAAGAATTCAAAGCAAATAGCCGCACAGAATTTGCCCATACCAGCATGCCTAAGGACTGGATGGCAGGAAGTTTTTGTGGAGGACGGGACTTTGATATGATTGGCGTCCAGAAGAATGTTGTGCTAAAGTGCTGTAGGCAAAGCCACTGAATAACCCAAAGCTGAACCAAGTTGTGGACACTGTCTAAAAATAAAAAAAGGTTTCTTATCTTGCAATATGTAGGGGAGGGGGGTGAAGAGAGCTGCAGCCAAGCTTCAGGGTGGCAATAAGGAGCTTTGGAAGGGAACGCATTAGCAGCTTCACCTCATGAAGTTTGTGGTGCAAAGGTCACTCCTTGAAAGAAAGCGGTACCACTACCACATTCCTCTGCCCCACACCCGCTTAGCTCCATAGATAGGGGCCACAAGACTTCCACAATCTTTCTGTACATCTACGTTCTTTATATATAGGGGTAAGGACAAATGTGAAGTCCACTTGAATTAGGCACACACTGTACGCAGAAAGTTTGCTTCATGCTCAGTGATGAAAATGGACTTTGCCATTTTCACACAAGGAGGATCGAACCTGCAGGCAGTTTGGATAAAAACATGCAGCACCTTTAACAGGACCAGCTCCCATATTAACTCTCTGTCCTATTCTGCTACAGACAAAGAGGCAATTGTTTACTTTCCCCACCCTCACAATTTAGGTGGAAAAGAGGTTGGCATCTATGACCGTTGGCATTTGCATGTCTTGGGAGACACTGGAAGAGTGCACATGGGCATCTATATTTCTTTTTAATTTCGTAATTTAGAGGAAACTGCCCTTTAGAGGGCACTGGTGAGTTTTTACACTGCTGAACTCCTTTTTATTAAAAGAGCAGGGGCATTATTATGTATTATAAACCTTGGTTTCTACCCCCAACCCATCCCGTGTATTAGTATACAGCATTTCCGATAAATTTACTCAAAGATTATACTATTACTGAGCAGGCCAGGAACACTTTAATAGTGTCCAGCATTTTGGAGTTCGGGATACTTGCCCGTGTCCACAGGGGTAATTTATTCGACAACTCTGAATCCCCCCAATCCCACATTTCTCTTTAGATGGATACTGACCGTACTGACAGTGCGGATACTGACCGTAATTAGTCACGCAAATTTCCCTTCACTAGACAACTGAACATCATTTCAATGCACCTATTAAATTTTAAGCTGTTTTATTCTCACCACCAGCTGATTTATCTCTTGTCCGTTGATGGGGAAATCTTTGGGGAGAAGGGGGGAGGGAGTCTGGAAAGGGGGAAATGCAAACCATTTATCTGTCTATATCCACCTAGCAGCAGCAAGCCTCTAGTCATGATTCCCTACGCCGTGCGAGTGCCTTGGCACTCTCCAAGACACACGTCGCTTTAGGCGAGGAACCCACGGCCTCTCTCGAGATCTGCAAAAGCTTTGCAGCCCGGCATTACTTATCCAACATCAGCGCCCTCCTCCTCAAACACTAACCGGGGGGGGGGGGTCTCCAGGTTCCTGGCATCGGATGCTGAGGGGACGGGCTGATTCGCGTGAAACTATGATTGCATTCGCGTTAAATTAAGGAAACAGGCGAGGCGAGCCAAGCAGGACCAGACTTCGGTCGGCGGACGTCCTAACCAAAAGCGCGAGGAGGCCGAGCAACAGAAGGCGGCTACACCTCGCTGCCTTCCCGACCGCTCCTCTCTTTCTTACCCCGAGATCTCGCCTTCTAGGGCAGGCAGCGGGCTCCGGCTCCTTAGCCGTAGTGCAGGCGAGGGAAATGACTCGCAGAACTGTTTGGCCGGGAGGAGAGGCTCCCGCCAAACTCCGCCACTAAAGCAACCCTCCAAAGCCCCCGCGGCTCCCCGTCCTGGCCTCTCTCCCTCGGGCCGCCCCTCACCTCGCAGGAAGCAGACCCTCGCTCCGCTCTCCGGCAGGCTGGCCAGCAGCGTGTTCAGCACGATCTGCGCCGTGCTCTCCTTCTTCAGCTTCCGCCAGTGCCGGGTGTTTTGATCCAGGACGACCACGGCCGTCAGCAGCCGCCGGGAGGGCACCGCAGCGTCCCCTTCCCTTTCCTCCTCTTCCTCCTCCGGGCAAGCCCCAGGCAGGAGCAGCCGCCCTCGGGCCGCTTCGTCGGGCACCACGAAGTGCAAGGGCACGGGCCGCCCGTGGGCGCGGCGGATCACCACCGAGTTGAGGTTCACGTTGAGCGATCCGCGGAGGCAGGAGGCCGAGTAGGAGAGGTACGGTCTGCAATCCAAGACCAGGCAGCCGGCGGGCTCCTTCCGCAGGAGCTGCTTGAGCTGCCGGGAGTCAAGAGCGGTTACCTTCATCGTCGCCTTCTGCCCCCTATAGTTCCCTTCCCTCGGGGAGGCTCGGGAAAGTAGCGCAGACAGGCAGCGATTAAGCTAAGCGGGTCTGGAAACAGGCACCCCGCCTTTTTTTGCTTTTAAAACGGAGCCGGAGGGGCTGCCAACCCGCTTCCTTTTAATGCCCCTCCTGGCTGCGGCGCGCCCCTCCCAGCCTTTGCATTTCCCTTCGCGTAACTCCGGTCAGGGGATTCCGCTTACAAGAAGAGGCAATTTATCTGAATGAAACGCCGGAGCCGCGCGGCGCTGTCCATATAAGGCGACTGACGTCACAGAAACGTTCCCAAGCTGGCACGCCTCTTCTTGCTAAGCCGTGCCCGCTCGTGGAGAGAGAGAAAAAGAGAGAGAGGAGATTCCTTCCCCCAGGAAGAGGGAACGCAGAGGCGATGCTCAGTAAAGCGTTAGTCAGACTTCTTGAAGCAAAGGAAGTTGAAGAACGCCTCAGAAATTCTCTAGTCATCAGAAAGCCCTCCTCACACTCACACTCACTCAATCATCACTTGCTTCCGTCGACTTACTAAGAGAGGGAAGGAAGTGTGATGGTGGCGGTGATGATGGTGGTAGCTGCGGGGAGCAGAGGTGGCACGCTGCTCAAGTTGCAGTGGGCAGGCCCTTAAGCTGCCCAGTGCAGGCCGCAGTTATTAAAATGGCTAAAAGTGGGGATGCAAATGAATGAAAAACAGCCCCTGTTGAATTTCTGTCTGTCACACAGCTGTTAAATGGAGAGATTATATATAGGCATGTGCAAAGGGCTTAGCATAGATTTGGGGGAGGGCTGGTTCTAGCACATCTCATCCCACACCTTGGGATGCTGCCATTTTAGCAGGGCAGGTTTCAGAGGCAGCACAGTTTTCTTTGCTCCAGGAGTAGGGTAGATGTGTGGTGGTATGCCTTTCTTAACAGAAACTACATTATTATTATTATTATTATTATTATTATTATTAGAAAGTATCCCTTTGAAAACGGGAGTAAGCTCACATAAAGTCCTATGTAGAGTGAAACATTTTATGTGAAAAGGGAAGAAGCAAACCCTCTTAATCACTGTAGTACACAGTTTAGCAATGACTTGAGGATGGTTTTATTACGTACGTGTTGTTTACACATTGCTTCATCCAGGCTTGTAAAGAATGTACCATTTTGACTTCATGCAAACCATACGGACAACTGCTGCCTTGTCATGCACTGATCTCAACTAGTCTTTAGGGCAGACTACTGGAGTTAGGAGGGACGCGGGTGGTGCTGTGGGTTAAACCACAGAGCCTAGGACTTGCCGATCAGAAGGTCGGCGGTTTAAATCCCCGCGACAGGGTGAGCTCCTGTTGTTCGGTCCCTGCTCCTGCCAACCTAGCAGTTCGAAGGCACGTCAAAGTGCAAGTAGATAAATAGGTACCGCTCTGGCGGGAAGGTAAACGGCGTTTCCGTGCACTGCTCTGGTTCGCCAGAAGCGGCTTAGTCATGCTGGCCACATGACCCGGAAGCTGTCTGCGGACAAACGCCGGCTCCCTCGGCCAATAAAGCGAGATGAGCGCCGCAACCCCAGAGTCGGTCACGACTGACCTAATGGTCAGGGGTCCCTTTACCTTTACCTTTTTACCTGAGTTAGGAGACCAGGATGACCATGTTAGGTGGAAGGCACCTGTGTATTTTAAAATCCTTTGATTATCCCTTGGCAGTCTTCTCCCACTTCTCTTAATATGGATTACCACCATTCACAAGTTCTGCCTTCCTCAACTGAAAAGTCACCATGCACCTTTCCAATTAGTACAGGAAAACATATTCCCTCACTGGCCTGCCTATTCATGGTGCTGGCCTGCCAGCAGACTCAGATGTAATACAGAGCGTAGCCATACTTCTCTGAATTACCTGCCCACCCATCCTTGTATCCAAGGCAAAAATTTAGTCAGTTTCACTTCTGCAAGTCAAACTCGCCGTAATTTTCCCAGCTCTGTCCCCAACAGTATTTTTGTGAGAAAGAGAAGCCTTTAAGCATCTGTAACGATGACCTCTATGGACAACTTCATGAGAAGGAAGAGTCCGGGGGTAAGTTTCCTGACATTCCTCAGGCATCCTGTGTGTGTGGGTTTTCCATATGTGTTTGGTTGGCCACTAGTTGATGAGAACAAGAGGCTAGATTAGACAGACCTTTGGTGTGATCCAGCAGGGCTGTTCCTATGCTCTTATGAAAAAATCAAAACTCTACTGTCCATTCCAGTGTATGGCTTTTTAAACAAAACACCTTAGAAAGGTAAGACAGCTAAGGGATAGGTTTCCAGTTTCACAGACATGGTAATAGAACAAATTGAGTCCCCACTGTGGTACAGTAGTTAGAATGTTAGATTAGAGCATGGGAGACCAGCGTTTAACTCCCCAGGGCTCACTGAGTAACTTTGTGCTAGTCACAGACTCCTAGACTAACCTATCTTACAAGATTGTTGTGAGAATAAAACAAGGAGGAAAAGAACCATGAACTCTATCTTGAGCTCTTTGGACAGAAAAGAGAGAGATGTATGCTTACTGAATAATAAGCATACCGTACATCTCAGATGTATGGTATTTTCTTTTATTGGAGTAGCATGGGTGTAATATCATTGGAGAAAAAAACCCACCACCCAGGGTGTGCAATAACTTCAGTCATTTTTGTTGATGTGTGTGCTGCATTTACAGTTCATAAAAACATATGAGAGATCCCAGTGCGTTACAAGGCATTGGGAAGAAGAGTCAGAACTTGAGAAAGACACTCACTCCCTGTACAAATACATTTGAATGCAGAAAGCAAGGAGATTAAAAAATAAAACGATGCTTTCTGACCCCTTTGGCTCATGTCCTTCATAATTGATCAGCCTCCTGCACTTAAGGAAAAACCTGAACTGTGCATCCCCTCTGTGAGGCCAGCAAGTGCTTCTGCTTATAGCTCAGCACTTCCGTAGCGGGAGGAAAAGTTAAAAGGTGAAAAAACACTCTATCCAAATAGGGATAACAACTCTATGGTGGTGGTAGCAGAGGACTAAGAATGAACTTGAGACAGAAAGCATGTGCTCACAAGTGACACAAAAATGCACAAAGATTGAAATATGGTTATAAAACCATCTCCCCCTAGGTCAGTGGAGCTGAATTTTCTCTCTCTCCATAAAGGTAAAGGTAAAGGTACCCCTGCCCGTATAGGCCAGTCTTGACAGACTCTGGGGTTGTGCGCCCATCTCACTCAAGAGGCCGGGGGCCAGCGCTGTCCGAAGACACTTCCGGGTCACGTGGCCAGCGTGACATCGCTGCTCTGGCGAGCCAGAGCAGCACACACGGAAACGCCGTTTACCTTCCCGCCAGTAAGCGGTCCCTATTTATCTACTTGCACCCAGAGGTGCTTTCGAACTGCTAGGTTGGCAGGCGCTGGGACCGAGCAACGGGAGCGCACCCCGCCGCGGGGATTCGAACCGCCGACCTTTCGATCGGCAAGCCCTAGGCGCTGAGGCTTTTACCCACAGCGCCACCCGCGTCCCTAGACCACTTGAAAACTGCAGAAGGTCTTGGCAGACCAATTAATGGTTGTTCTGCCTGTTGTAGCAATTGTACTTCCATAGAATTCAAATTGTAATGCAATAAAATAAAATACAATAAAAATCAATGAGGAACATTCAATCAGAAATCCACAGACATGCCATGGACCACCTGAATGAAGCTCGTGGACCACAGTTTGGGAACTCCTATCTGTCTCTCGCAGGACACAGGCTCAAACGTGCTTTTTAAGTGGCATGTGTGGCTTTGGTCATAGTTTATAAAGAAGAATGTTGGGCAAAGCCCCCTAAAAGAAAGTACCTCCCTTCTTTTCCTTTCGTTGTTCTTTCGCTTTTCCCATTTCCTGTATGGCAGCCCAGGGAGGTCTTATGTGGATGTCAGCCTGAGTGAGCCCTGACACACAGGATGCCTGAGGAATGTCAGGAAACCTACCCCCAGACTCTTCCTTCTCATGAAGCTGTCCTTAGATGTCATTGTTGCAGATGCTTAAAGGCTTCTCTTTCTCACAAAAATACTGCTGAGGACAGAGCTGGGAAAATTACAGCGAGTTTGACTTTTGTTAAAGATTCCCCCCTTATCGTATATCAACAGTCCCTGTGAAACAGAGGGAGGAAAGCCAAGGGGAAATCACTCTCCTGATTCAATTTTAGGCAGCCTTTGCTGGTTGCCTTAGCAAGGAAGGGAATACATTTAAGATGGCAACAGGGCCACCATTTACCATCTTCTCCTTTCACATAGAGAAATCCAGGTTTCCTCAGAAGTATGGGCCTATGGCTTTCCTAAATTTGCTTTCCTATATATTTTATTTAGGATATATACTGTAAAGGGGGACGCGGGTGGCGCTGTGGGTAAAACCTCAGCGCCTAGGACTTGCCGATTGCATGGTCGGCGGTTCGAATCCCCGCGGCGGGGTGCGCTCCCGTCGTTAGGTCCCAGCGCCTGCCAACCTAGCAGTTCGAAAGCACCCCCGGGTGCAAGTAGATAAATAGGGACCGCTTACCAGCGGGAAGGTAAACGGCGTTCCGTGTGCTGCGCTGGCTCGCCAGATGCAGCTTGTCACGCTGGCCACGTGACCCGGAAGTGTCTGCGGACAGCGCTGGCTCCCGGCCTCTAGAGTGAGATGAGCGCACAACCCTAGAGTCTGGCAAGACTGGCCCGTACGGGCAGGGGTACCTTTACCTTTACCTTACTGTAAAGAGCTTTTTCTACACAGAGTCAGATCAAGGATACACCCAGCCCAGTAGTTGTCACAAAAAAGGTGTCTCTCAGCCCTCTTATCCGAGATCCTATTAACTGGAAATGCCAAGGTTTGCATCTGGGACCTTACAGCACCAACACTGGGCAACAACATTCACCTAATATTAGTTGTGTGTAGTTAAGCGTCAAGTGCAGCCTGATCATTTGCTAAGGTTCTCTGTGAGCCACACCCTGGTCTTTTACTCTTCAGCCCAGGGGTGGGGAACGTGTAGCCTTCTGGGTGCTGCTGGACTCCAGCTCTCATCAGCCCCAGCTAGTATGGCTAATGATAAGGGATGATGGAGTTGGGAGGACAACATCTGGAGGGCAGTAGGTTCCCCACCCCTGATTTAGCCAGTGCTTTAATGAAACCTGTAACACTATTCCATTATTACCAATGTGCATTTCCCCCCTTAAAGATCTATCTTCTGAAGTCACAAGGTTCTTACAAGTATATATACAATATTAGTCTCCCTTCAAGTGAGGTAACCTTTCTAAG